GCTCACGTCGTCATTTCTCACAGCAGCCTACCAAGGTGCTCTACAGTGAACGAGTCAGGATGAGTCCGGTCCAGTGACGGAGTCTGCAGGCAGAGCTCGGAGCCTCAAGGGGAAGCCCGCAAAGCGGCGTGACAAAAGCTCACCTTCCGTCTCCCAGCACAAAGAAACCACTTACGCCACGAAACAAAGAAAACTGTTGTGACGCTCCGAACAAAGTCAAAAGAGAGCAAAACGCATTCTAAGGAAGAGTCACTCAAGCTAAGCATCGCTTTTTATTCCCAACAAGAGATTCTAGATCAGGCCGACAGTGCCCCCTCACTGCGAGACTGACCTCTACTGGCGGCGAAAGCCCTAAGACAGCACGTGTGGGTCACAAGCAGGAAATAATCTCAGGCCTCCCCGTCACTGGACGGAACTTCAGGCAGAGCTTTTGTGCCTGTGACCAGTTACTCGTTACTCTGCAGGTACCTATCCAGGAACTGGGAATAGCAGTCCAGGGAACAGAAGTAGCAGATGATGGGCGCTTCCGTACCTCCCATGTTATCCACAAGGACCACGGTATGAGCTACGTGGTGGAGATTCATGGTCACCGTGATCTGAATGAAGCTGCTCAGGCAGGCACTTCCGCACTGGCATGTTTTAGCCACTTCCAGATCTTCGCAAAGGTGAGAAGGAAGGAGATGACAACCATAAGGGATTCTATTGAAAAAGAGAAGTGTGAATTCGCTGTAAAATTAACCCGTGTCACTCACACACAGCGACATCCCTTATGCACCACTTGGAAAAACACCTTTCTGGGATCACAGACAAGGAAAATCTGAAACTTTGCCACCTGCAGTACTGGCCTGGTTAGGAATGAAATGCCCCTTTCCAAGACAGTTACTAAAGACAGGCAACCATGTCGCTGACCCCTACGTACCTGAACTCCAGGAGACTCTGGAACAAGAGCCAGGGAGTTCACACACACCCCAACAGCCTGTGTCACAGCGACAGGGAATAGGAGACAGACTCCTCCCTAACATGAAAAAGTGGTGGTAGTGTAAAAGCTCCGTGTCCAGAGGAAACGGGAGACAGAGTGAGCCTTTTTACAGCAGTACCACACGGCAGGTGATAAACTAAGGTTCTCTTGATGTACCGCTGGTTTAGTCCATCAGGTCAACAGTGACACTCAGTGACAGGAACAGGAATCACTTCTCTTGAAATTCACTGCAGAGCGGCCTTGTGTTTGGGGTACAAAATAATGAATTTCCCTGAAGTACTCTGCCGAGGTAACATCCAAGTGTGGGTATCGCACCCGGCCGTGACTCGAGGCTCACCGACTAGGTCTGACTGACTCACATCCTGACTACACCTACATATTCCCAATGCCTTCTCCATACCGTCATGCACGTAGCTAAGGCTCCTGTGGTTTTTCTTCACCACCTCAATCTCAGGACATCCTTTTTTCCTGGTACTTGCCCAGAACTCTGCTACGAAGATCGATTTCCAAAACATTTACTTCTGTGCCTTCCCTCCTCCTGTTTTCTTCCTTTCTCAAGGTTTTTACAGCCCATCATCACTCCTGTTTCTCCTTCTTTGTTAATTCTCACCTCCAGTGAATGTCTGCTGCCCCCTTGACAGACTTTTTCTTTCCCATTTAAGAGAATCAGGACCACTCTGACCAGTGCTGTCTCCTAATATCACAGACCCATGGGCAAGGGGGCCGTTGCCTCGTCTCACAGAGAGTCCTGAAGCAGGAAGCCTTTTTCACTCGGTGTGATGTCGTTTTCTTAGAGCCTGCTGCACGGGAGCCAGGGGTCGGATTAATGAGTAGGTATCCTTGGGTACTCCGGAATTGTAACCGGGCACCAAAATCTGACCAGTGCTGAGGGATTATATGCTCTTACGTAAAAGCTGGGAGAGGAAGCACGTGGAGTTTAATTGCTGTAACACAAGCAGCAAGGTCAGACGCGGTTAAGATCTGCAGCAGAACATTTGGTTGCTCAGCTCATTGCCGGGGTGTGCCCTGCATGCCTGCGGGCACCTTTAGCACTGACTTTGGAGCAATTAACCCAGGCTCATGGGGCGCTCCCCGCCCCCCAGGCAGGAAGGGGCACAGAGGGTAGATCAGGAACACTCCAAGCCTGTCTCCCACCCCCTTTCTGTACCCGTGCCTCTTGCTCCCTTTCCACCCAGAACAGTGTGGGCGCAGCAGCAGCTGGTAGGATCACAGGCAGTGGCATGCCGGCAGTTATCTAAGCGGGGAAGGGGAGAAAACTGCTAACAGCAGCCTGGCAAGGATGTTTACTTGGTGAAAAGTAACTTCAAAATCAGCTCAGAACTGGGCTTTCTCCATGCAAGACAGAACACCCTCACTCCAACACCACAGGAGATTAACAGCTCAAGGAAAACCCTGCGGCAGGGAGAAGCCTGCAGCACGCAGTGCCAACTCCGGCGTGACTTCTGCCCCTCGCAGCCACCTCGCAGTACCCCTGTAACGCTACTCAGCCTGTGCCGAGTAGCACACCCTGAGCAGAGACAGCCTGATCCATGTCTGTAACTCGGACCTGTATGGCCGGAGGAAACCTTTTGCCATTCCCACACGGGAAGGGACGGCGATAGGCTGGTGGGTACTACACACAGTTTTCGGCCTACAACGTGAGCGCAAGATGAAGGGCAACCATGCTTGAGAGCAGTTTCCAAGCTAGAGCCCAACACAAAATCCACTGTGATGTAAGCTCCTCAATACAAAACACCAGAAGTGGTTTGGGGTTGTAAAACTGATTTTCTTTTCCCATAGCTGGGCGAGAATATTCTGTTACTGTTCCCCCCCGTTTTGCGGGTAAATCCATTTCAACCTACAGCTTTCTGTAAATCTGCCAAGTCACCAATTTACTGCGTTAGCCTGTATAACAACGGGACGATTTTACAAGCGGAATTTAAAGCAACTTTAACCTTACCATTAAGAGGTGAAGAGCAATAGCCGCTGACAGGAAAAAAACTGCACGTCAGGAAAGCTTAGACTCGACAGGTTTGGAAGGGAGCAGGTACAACGTGCACCCATCATGCTGCTCTTACCTGTAATTTAGGGTTGCTCTTGCAGCACACTCTAATAAAGTCAACGGTATTTTTAGCTGTATGTTGGCAACAAGTGGATTAGGCTGTTCAAAAGGATTTCCAAAGAGATCCAACTTCTCAAGGCAGAGTTTCCTAAAATCACTGGGCAAGAAGGGAAGTTGGTTTCGAGTGGCTGACAGGAAGCGTAGATGATCTAACTGGCCAATCTTGAATGGCAACCTAATCAACTCATTGTCATCGAGCTTTAAATGAACGAGTTCTCGCAGCTGGCAAAACTGAATTGGAAGCGCTTTGATTTTGTTTTGGCTAAGGTCCAAGAACTGAAGAGATTTCTGAAGGGTGGAGTTGCATAGAGCCCCACTGAAGGACTCCAGGTGATTGTCATGCAGACTAAGCTCCTGAAGGCAGCTCAGGTCACCAATAGTAGCTGGCAGCTGCTTAATGTGATTGTGACTAAGGTCTAGTTTTCGGAGTTTCTTCAGACAAAGCACGCGCGTGTCGATCCGAGCAAGTTTACAGTACGAGGCTTGGAGATGTTCGAGGGAGTAAGGGAAGTTCTTGGTGAGAGGATAGTCCCTCCTTGAAGTTATGATCATTTTTGTCTTCGGTTTTTCAACTTCCGAGGTCTTTGCTGGTACCAAAGCGGAGAGCGGGAGAGCTCCGATGTCGGTCCCTTGGTGAGCCAGTTTCACTGCTGAAAGGAAATTCTTTAAATTGCTGGCATTTGCCTAAGGGAAAACACAAATGCAAAATTAAAAGTTCATTATTTTCCTGCTCATTTGTATGAACACTTTCTGAACTATTTTGTACATGTATCGGGAGCTCCCAACTCGGCAGGGCAATGACACGGGAAAGGGAAGCAACTCAGGCTCATTAGGTCGACGGGCTGTTTACAGCATTTAGGGACAAACGGCAATTGAAATGAGAAGGCATGACCTCTCTCAATAACCTAGATCAAACCAACCGCGGCATTACTCAGAAAAGAAACAAAGCACCAAACTCACAGCCGAGAACAAAGTACAGAAAAAAAACCTGATGCACGGTGATCTTCTTGACCTGCAACATGATAAAGGGACTGTTTATAAAAACAGGCATGCTGATAAGAGTATCAGAGATCTGCAACTTGAGGCAATCATATCGGAGATCTGCAACTTGAGGCAATCATTTCTGAAGGAAAAGGATGGAAGCTGAGGGTAAATTCAACGTAAAGGATGGTGGAAAGCTTCAAGGCAGGTTAAGGAAGCGCTTCTGGTCACACACAGCTCGGGTTGTGCCAGCATCAAACAAGAGGGGAATGATTTGTAGTCCTTCTCCAAACAACTGCCCAATTTTGCTTTAGGTGGGATCTAATACGATGCCAATAAGGAGAGAGCGTCAAATTAATGGATTATGAGATGACCTGCATTTTAAAGTAATGACAGCAGTGATACATTTGTGGTACTGATATATACATTTGGTCACTTCCTATTCATGTTTCCTCTTCAAAATTCTCCAGTGGGTCTCTCCTCAAGCTGATGTGCAGCTGACAGACACGAAACTACAAAGTGAATTCTAACCCAAAAAGCACGACGCACCCCTGCAAGTAAGGGTCCTCTCTCATTGCTGGAAAAGAACAAACTTGGAGCTTTGGCACGGCTCAGAGTCGAGAGGTTTGCACTCTCTTCCCAACTGGAACTTGCCCAACCCTAGTGACGCCCGTTTCTGCACCCAAAAGACAATTTTGCTCCGATGTGTATTTGTTTATACCAAATTCTAGAGGGCCCAGAGCTAGCCTACGTAACATGCTGTAAGCACCTAGCACAGCCGAGCAATGATTTTGGAGACCTCTGGATGCTAACGTGGTATCAAGACAATAAAGGTCAAACCAATTTGACTGCATCAGTAACCTAACCCGACTGTTTTCCTGAAGCATCCCATGCACATCTATTCTCTTAACTCCTGACGTGACACCCTCCAGAGATGGGGAAGCTGCACAGCAAAAACTTCTGTATCCAGGACCACCAACATTCATTATCTCAGCCAGTTTAACTACAACAAAAAAGCTACAGAACTCCCAACTACAGGCAGATTTGGCACGTTTCCAAGGGTAAATAAGTAACTAAAATTGGAAGTAAGGAGAAAAAGTCCTCCAGATCTGTGAAGGCGAAGTAAGATCAATAACTGTACATTAGAATGAAGTTGCAGACAACATTTCTTTGCTCTCAAAGCATGAGGCACAACAGACACCTCGGTACTGAGGCATCCATGGTAGCTTTGTGAAGGCAGCAGGGTATCTGTAAAGCTGTTGTTGAGAAACCTTGAATATGTTGAGAAAAACACTATCTAAGGAAAAAAGTGCAAAGATTTAGTTGGAAGTGCTCAGGATGCAATTTTCTGCCAGGAGTCTGAAGTCTCAGCCACAGAAAAGATGCTGGGAGAAGAGGTTAATCTGTGTTGATGCCTTGCAAGTCTCTTGCTTCAGAGCTAAATGAAAGATGACAAGGCAATCAGAGGTTACACGGATTCCAGACCTGGCGTGTGACGCAGCAGGCACAGGCTTGCTGAAGGGAAAAAACCCAACCCACCAAACCATAGCGACTTCATTACTTTTGCTCCAGGGTTGAACGCTCCAGACCGATGTTTCTCAACTTAATTTCTGCTGCGGCCGAAGGCGGCAAATCTCACCGTCTGGCAGAGTACAGAGAGGGGGTTGTGCCTGGTTACCTGCATGCAGTCGGTGTAGTCACGGGAAATCTCTTTTCTACAAAGCTTTTGCCCGTCTTGGAGAGCTACGCAGCCTTGCTGTGATGAAACCACGCAAGGCTAGCAGGAACACTCCAGGAAAGTTATCAAACATCTTAAAGCGGGTTTCTGGATTTGGAGCATTTAAGAGGAATGTTGGTTTTGGAAGGATTTAGTGGATTTGATCCTGGAGCTTGACAGATGAGGGTGAGCCTTGTGTTAAAACGGGGAGTGAGGATCTAGTCTCCCCAGAGCCACTCTGGTCCAAGGAACTCCTGTTTCTTTAGATTCAGTTGAGACTTTCTCTTCAGTCGAACGTCATGGGCTACCGTATCGCGCAGAAAACAACAGATGTGGTTGTTAACTAAATTACCCCCACACTGAAAGAGTATCTGTCACACAGTTTCCTCACAGGCCCTACAAACGGTCTAAATGGTCTACAAATGGTCTTCCTGGAGAGGGTGGGGAGGCACTGGGACAGGTTGCCCAGAGAAGCTGTGGATGGCCCATCCCTGGGAGTGTCCAAGGCCAGGCTGGATGAGGCTTGGAGCAACCTGGTCTAGTGGAAGGTGTCCCTGCCCATGGCAGGGGGGTTGGAACTGGATGATCTTTAAGGTCCCTTCCAACCCAAACCATTCCGTGATTCTATGAGTCTAAATCGGAACCTGTAGCGTGAAGACACAGACCTTTCCTCTCCAATTTTATACAACTAATAGATCCTCTTCCAACAGGCCTGGCTTTTCTACCTTTGCTCCAACATAAGGGTTTTGACCTCGCACACTTCAGTGGAAATGCTTGAAGAACGCAGAACAGGAAGATATTCTGGATCCAACGCAACAGGCGTTAGAACAGAGTTTCCACTTTTGCTTCTGACAAGAAAAAAATGCATTTATTTGCACACACACACACACTCTACTTCTTCTATACTTAACCTTGTAACGTGAACAAATGAGGGCTGCTTTCCTCACCACCACGGCCTTGGCTCTCGCACAGACAAGGCATTTCCAGATCACCACAGCGCTCTGCCACATTCTGCAAACTCTTGGATTACCACAACCATATTCAGGCTTAATATTCAGTTATTGGTCTTAATCCTGATCCGATAAATGCATTTTTTTTCTTGCTGAGTCATATTTGTTTTCTTCTCAGTAAGTCACTTCCCCCAAGACAGATTCATTCACCTCGATTCTCAAGCAGACCTCGCAGCCTGCCCCGTGCTCTACACCTCTGGCAAGACAGTGGTCAGTGCCTGCTGCAGCTGCAGTTTAGACACACCCTGTGATTTTCTCCTCAGACAGACCCTTTGAGAGAACACCCCACTGCAAAGGGCTAAGCTTCACCGCCCGGGATTACAGCTGCTCGACCTGACATCGCTGGCGTTATGGAAGGATCTCCTCCTGGCCAAAGCATCACAGTGACAACGCAAAGTCAAAGTGATGGGCCAAACAAAAAGATCAGTATTCCTTGTTTTTACTTACACATTCTAACTCCAAGGTTTTAGAAGAGTTGTCCCGCTTTCCTCTTCTACAAAGGATTACTGGAATAGGCACAGAAAAAAACCCAACATAAAACCTGACTGCTAACGTGTGATTTTTTGGGTGAGTTTAGCATTCTTAAAAACACTTTACAGCTTCCAAACATCCCATGAACTGTAAATAAATACATTGGTGAGTCGTGCTATCAGCTAAGCACTAGTGCGAGACGGCACCTGCACTGCTGATCCATACCACATGTCTCCAGCTTGGAAAACCACAGCGGGCACACTGCTTATCAACCAAAATATGAGTATTTTCCAGTTTTCAGTTAGAAAAACTCGACGTGATGACCTGTTTGATAGAACTCGTGGCCACAGAGCAAGACACTGGATCAGAGAGATGAAGAAAGTTGTTGCTTTCTAAATAAAAGATGAAAAACTACAGAAAAACTGGACTTTTCTGCTCCTGCTGTTTCTCCAGAAAGGGAGAATCGGAACACAGCCCAGCACACAAGCTGGGCCCAGCCTTCCCGGCACCACAGGCGCCGGCTTCCTCGGCCAAAGCTGCCGCAGGTCAGACGCGGCTGTGAAGACCAGGTCGCTCTGTGGCGTCGGTCGGGGGGACCCCACCGGGGCCGTTCCAGCACGGTGACGGCGCCC